GGGGGGGGGGGGAGGAGGAGGAGGAGGAGGAGGAGGAGGAGGAGTTGTTTCACTTCTCATCCAATAAGCTTCATCAGTTGTGAATGGTTGGCGGAAGGAAGTATAGTTACTCTTCCTCAAGGAAAAACAGTCCAGTTGCTTTTGGAAAAAGCATCTTTGACACACTGGAAAAGGTTAAAAATCAGCATCCTGAATTAAACCCAGAAGGAAACTGGCAACCAGTACAGCTTGCAGAGCAGAGGTGTAACTTGTGCAGTTCTAGGAATTAGAGAATAACCGTGTTCAAAGGGACTATGGAGGTTTTCTAATCCGATCCCCTGCTCATAACTTCCCACATTGTCACATTTTGCACCACCTGAAGCTCCTGGGTATTGTCCAGGGGCTTTTCCAGGAAAGAATCTCAAATTTGGAGAAATCAGGAGGAACTGGTTTAGCGAAAAGTCTTACAGCTGGGGAGGACCTGCGCAGAAGAAGTAACCCTCTCTCTTTTCTTGCAGCGCTAACGGTGAAGTTTCTTACCAAGAGGTTTATAAGCGAATACGATCCTAATCTGGGTAAGTCCGAATGTATCTTCTTCATGCTTCCATGTTGCCCTTTTGCAGTCTCAACTTGGACAGGATTCTCTGATCATTTCCCAGGCGGACTAAACCAGCTTTGGACCAGCTTAGCTTCTGATCCCAGATCAAGTCAACCAGAGCCCACCACCTGTTGGGGAAACCACTTAGAATCCAGGTTTAATCCAGATAACACACACTGGAAAGTTTTGTGCATTCTTATGAACAGAAACTGGAAGGTGGGATACCAAAGAGAGACTTTGCAGGTGGATTATTGGTCAGCTGGGAAAATCCTGCTTTGGGTTGCACTAAATGGCTCAGATCCAGAGGCCACCAGCATCCACCCACCTGACAGGGAGGGTGGAGGGAAAAGGGGTCTCCTAGCAAGCAGAAAACTGGGTCCCCTTTTGGGGTCCCTGGAAAATGTCAGCCCTCTTCAGGTTTTTTTTTTTTTCCCTTCCCAAAACATGCTGCAGGGTATTTTAAGTTCTTCCAAGTTCTGCTTGCAAATATGCTTCGTGGCTATTTCAAAACAAGCTGCCAAATTTGGAGCACATACCAAGGAAAGTAGAGATGGAAAATACTGATTGCCTTGGAGGGCAAGGAGAGGCTTCTGGACTTAAAAAAAAGAAAGAAAACACCCTTCCAGAAAGTTAATGAGCTGTGATGCAGATCGCTTGTCAACCCACAAATCCCCCTTGAAACGGCGGGGAGCCAAGACCAAATGCCGACCTAAGAGCCAAGAGCGACAAGGCTCGTCAAAAAGACCTTGAAAGATTTCTTTCCTGCTTCAGCCTGTATTTGCTTCCTGGATTTCTCAGTCAGAATAGATCTGGAAGGGACCTTAGAGGTCTTCTAGTCCAACCCCCTGCTCAAACAAGAGTCTCTATGCCATTTTCAGACAAGTGCCTCTCCAGCCTCTTCTTAAAAATCTCCAATGATGGAGCTCCCAGAACTTACTAAGTCTGCATTACTATTACTATTAATCCCCCCATCCTTCCTTTCACCCATCTCCTCCCACTTATGACTGTACGACTGTAACCTTGTTGCTTGTGTCCTAACCATTTTTATTGTTTCCTAGTATGATTTGATTGCTAATTTGTACCCTATGACTATTAATAAGTGTTGCACCTGATGATTCTTGACTCTGACAAATGTATCTTTTCTTTTATGTACACTGAGAGCATTTGCACCAAGACAAATTCCTTGTGTGTCCAATCACACTTGGCCAATAAATAATTCTATTCTATTCTATTCTATTCTATTCTATTCTATTCTATTCTATTCTATTCTATTCTATTCTTATTGTACCCTATGACTATCATTAAGTGTTGTACCTGATGATTCTTGACTCTTGATGAATGTATCTTTTCCTTTTTATGGCAGCCCCTCAAATATTGGAAATACTGCTATCATGACGTCACCCCTAGTCCTTCTTTTCCCCAGACTAACCAAACTGAAAATCCTGCAACTGTTCTTCGTATGTTTTAGTCTCCAGGCCTTAGTCGCTCTTGTCTGCACTTTTTCCAAAGTCCCAACATCTTTTTTTGTAAAGTGGCGATCAAAGCTGGATGCTGTGGCCTTACTAAGGGTTTTTAATGGATGGAAAACCGAAGCATTTAAGTGGTGGCATTTTTATTCTCTTAATAAACCAGCCCTGGGACCACAAGTGCTTTGCCTGGAATTCTAAAACTCTGGAAAAATGCCTGCATGGGCTTATATACTTCATTTGTTTTATCACTTGCATCTCTCTGTGCTAAACATTCTGAAATGAAGATTTGGTTTAAAGGAGACACAAAGTGTGAGTTGTCAGAATTTGCTTTTTGGAGGAGAACTGGGTGTGAACTCAGCTTAAGTGTTGTTTTAAAATCCAGTCCTGCTTAATGGGATCTCAGATTTAGGGTCGAATTTTATTGGACCATTGTGAAATGGGGAATGGTGGGTTGAGTCGCTAGGAAAGTCTCTTTTTTTTGTATTTATTTTATTTTATTTTATACAAATCCATTAAATAGTGTGTCATCTGGGTACAAATATCTTGCGCAGTAACAATTACAATTTATACATATTCATTGCTTGATGTTAATACTCTATTCTATTCTAATACTAATATACTTCATATATCTAATTCTTATAGCATTCCCCATCTTAACATTTTCAATTCTTTTCACATGTTTACTATTTTTCACTGATCTTCTTTAATTTCTAACTTCCATATTAATTCTCTAGCCATTGATAAAATAATTCCCATATCATATAATATTCAGTTTGTTCTGAGTCGTTCGGACAGTCTTGTTGAAGTTTAGAAAAAAAATAGTAGCTGAGTTCATACATTTTCCACTAAGTAATAGCATGATTTCTTTGGTCTGTTTTCAGCATATTATGCAACCTAAATCAATGGTGATTTATTCAGCAAATAAACACCAGAAAACTATGGACTATTAAATTGTGGAATATTACAATGTTTAAATTAGGATCCCCCAAAGTGATTAATATTAACCCCAAAGGTCTATGGGATTGCCCAGAGATCAGTGCTATTATGGTTGGTCACATAGCCAGATGTTTAGCATTAACAATAGCACTTAGACTTACATATATACCGCTTCCCAGTGCTTTGACAGCCCTCTCTAAGCAGTTTACAGAGTCGGCCTCTTGCCCTCAACAGTCTGGGTCCTCATTTTACCCACCTCGGAAGGATGGAAGGCTGAGTCCATCTTGAACCAGTCAGGATCAAACCCCTGTCTCTGGGCAAAGTTAACCTATAATATTTCATTCTAACCACTGCGCCACCGGGAAAGGGGAAGGAAGGAAGGAAAAAAGGAAAGAAAAGGGACAAATCAAATCAAACAATGTTAACAGTCAAGGCTCCAGAGGTTTAGACTGGATTTGGCATTTTTATCCCACCTCGCTAGTCCTTCACAAGGACCTGGGGAAGGAGATGTTGCTGGTTGATGGTATTAAAGGACCTAAGATTTTCCTAGTAAAGGTGCCTTTTGCACTTGACTGATGGTGATTTTGTCGGTTCCGAGAGTAGTCCAGTGGTGCTCCAGATGTTTTAGAATTGCACCCAAGGCACCTAACATTATAGGGACTACCTTTGCTTTCTTTTGCTGCAGTTGTTCCATTTCTATTGGCAGGCCTTGGTATTTTCTGATTTTTCTCTAGTTCCTACCCTCGGCCTGAACAAAAAGAAAATGAGAAACTGGTTGGATTTGCAACACAGACTTCACTTCTTTCCTGAATTAGCGCATTTTCTTGTTTTGCACAATAAACTGAGCCAAACAGCCAGAGTGGATTTGTCCCAAAGGCTAAGCCACAAACAAGCCACTTAATCAAGCTTAGCTGGTTGGAACAAATGACTGAACAAGGAGAGATTCAACCTGGAAATTAGGAGAAACTTTCTGACAGTGAGGACAATCGACCCATGGAACAGAAGTTGCCTTCGGAAGTTGTGGGAGCTTTATCCCTGGAGGCTTTCAAGAAGAGACTAGACTGCCGTCTGTCAGAAATGGTGTAGAGTCTTCTGCTTGGGCGGGGGTGGTGGTGGATTAGATGACCTACAAGGTCCCTTCTAACCCTGTTAATGTATAATATAAACCTCTTTGTCTTTAATATGATTGAGGAGATTCATGATCCATGACATAGATCAAGGGAATTATACTATTGTAGCCACCAATCTGATGTTTTTACTCCTCCCCGTGTCTGAGTGGGTTGAGCAAACCTATCCCTTGAAAGAAAGAGAAAGAGAACTTTGGCTGAGATCTAATCTTGGCCACTTGTCTTGGAATCCTCTTGTTAAGCACCAGAAGGCAGGACAAGAAGCAACGGATGGAAACTAATCAAGGAGAGAAGCACTCTAGAACTAAGGAGAAATTTCCTGACAGTGGAACAGCTTGCCTTCAGATGTGGAACTTTTTAAGAAGAAACTGGACAGTCACTTGTCTGAAATGGTATAGGGTCTCCTGCTTGAGCAGGGGGCTGGACTAGAAGACCTCCAAGGTCCCTTCCAGCTCTGTTATTCTAGTCTATTCTTTTAGAACTCTGTGAGGTTCGGTGTCACTATTTTTTAAAAAAATTTTCTGTAGGTTATAAGTTTAGTCCCTGGCCTTTCAAATCAGGGTTTAAAAAGAGCCTGGTCTCAAATCTTGGGAACAACACTGAGTCAGATGGTCTGATGTTTAGATGGACCCTGTCCTGGGTCCCCAAAGGGACTCTAGATCAGTAGCAACAATCATCAGACAAACAATCAGACAAACCACGCTCGAAATCCTGGAGGGCTCTGCCAGTGAGCTAGACCAAGTTTATGGCTTGATCTATGGCATCTATTTCCGTTTGTTTTCTGTTTATCGGTGCATCCAGGGAGAGCTATGAGCAAGAAGTCAGTCCAAAGCTAGGAATTTCATCAATCAGCGACAAAGAAGCTGGGATATAATTGTGTTGGAAATTCTTGGCAGGTAGCTCTTATGAGTCATATCCAGAAGTTGAAGAATGACAGAGGAGGCTTTCAAGGAAGGCACAGAAGAATAAATTTTGTGTGTGTGCGTGTGCACGCGCGTGCACGTGCATGTGTGTTTTGCAAGGGTGTTTCCCATTCATTTTGTGTACTGAGATTTCTTTTCGAAAGCTGTGGCTTTCATTGAGAAGGTTCCAATGATCGAAATAATTACTGCATACAAAATAAACTATGTGGGCAATGTCTAAGCAAGTGGTATTTAGTGACAAGTAGCAATTGAATTTCCATGTTCCTTTTCCCCCCCACTTTGAACAATGAGTGCAAAAGTGACCAGATGAGGGACAAACATGTGATAGTCAGTTTAGCATTGCCTTTTTATTGTTTTAATGTTTAAAAATAGGTTGCAGGATAAGGTCTGTTGCTGTCTCCTTTGCTCAGACATGAGCCAAGCATAATTTCCAAGGAATTTGCTTGGATAGTAGGAGAGATATCTCAAGGGATAGAAACTTCTGGAGATAACAGAATGTGTATGAATTTTGTTCCTTTCAGTCCACTGGCAATCTAGCTGAGGGGTGCCATGGCCTAGAGGTGGAGCTCTCGTCTCACAATCCGGAGGCTGTGAGTTCGATCCTAGATAGAGGCAGATATTTCTCTCTCTGAGCACAATGAGAATACATCTGCTGAACAAAACTCCGCATTGGTGACAGGAAGGCCATCCGGCTATTAAAACGCTCTGCTAACTCCATTCAGTTGCCCAGACTCCACCCCACAATGGATTATGGAGGTGTTAAATGACGATGGATGAGTCCAGTGGTAATCTAAATGTTGTTCTACATGAGGAAGAGGAGATACAATCAGCACCTCCTTTGAGGGTCCCAGCTTGGTTTAGGGGCACAAAAATACTTTCCCAAAATGATCTACCAACTTTCAAAACATTTGCTTTGCAGAAGATACCTACGCTTCAGAAGAGATAGTAGACCAACAGCCTGTCTTGCTCAAAGTGATGGATACAGCGGATCAGGTATGTCAACAAAAGCTCAACCATCCAGGCCAAAAAAATATCTTTATTTAAAAGGTTAAAAGCATGGCAAGTGGATCAAAGTTTGTGAATCTGAGACATTTTGTTACTCATCCAAGTAACTTCATCAGTCAAAATTTAAAAAATGCTACTTGGATGAGGAACGAAACCTCTCAGATTCACAAACTTTGATCCACTTGCCATCATTTTAACCTTTTTAAGAAGTTGATCAGATAACAGCATGAGAGCAAAATATTTGCAATGAAACCTCTGCATTTCCAAATATTGTCTTCATACCAGAGGTAGAAGGAGTAGGTAACATTTACATGACAAAAGACCCATCAGCAAGAGCCACTTCTATCAGCAGAGGATAATTTCTAGGCAAATCCAATAAATCCTCCTGGTGTTTGATTTTGGTTAGATCCTCACCGCTTTGGGAAAATAAGACTTAATAGCAATAGCATTTAGACTTATATACCACTTCACAGTGTTTTAATAGCCCACTCTAAACGGTTTACAGAGTCAGCCTCTTGCCCCCAGCAATCTGGATCCTCATTTTATTGAGTTAGGAAGGATGGAAGGCTGAATCAACGTGGAGCTTGGTGGGATTCGAACTGCCAAATTGCAGGCAGCCAGCAGGCAGCAGAAGTAGCTTGAAGTAAAGGTAATCAGTAAAAGTTCCCCTTGCACACATGTGCTAGTCATTTCCGACTCTAGGGGGCGATGCTCATCTCTGTTACAAAGCCGAAGAGCCAGCGCTGTCCGAAGACGTCTCTGTGGTCATGTGACCAGCAGGACTAAACCCCTGAAGGTGCATGAAATGCTGTTCCCTTCCCACCAAAGTGGTCCCTATTTTTCTACGTGTTTCTGAACTGCTAGGTTGGCAGAAGCTGGGACAAGTAACGGGAGCTCACTCCATTACATGACACTAGGGATTCGAACTGCCAAACTGCTGACCTTCCTGATCGACAAGCTCAGCGTCTTAGCCACTGAGCCACCCTACTGCACTCTAACCACTGCACCATCGCGGCTCATAAGATTATCTTGTTCTCCTCATTTAAGGTGGTTCTGTTCACCCTCTTGCCTCCAGAGATTTGGGGATCTTTAGTGAGCCCATTTGGAAGAGACCAGATAGAAACTCATTAAAATTAACCAGGCAGCTCATAAAAAACACATCTATATTGTCAAGAGCAGGGGTGTCAAACTCAAGCCCCGTGGTTCAGATCCATCCCACGGGGTGCTTAGATCTGGCCCGCTGGGCCGACCTGGAAACAGGTAAGGACTGGCCCGCGGTGCCTCTGCCAGCAAAAACGGAGCTCAGGAACGTTGTGATTCAATGATCTGTATCTACCTTATCTTCTTTGTAAATGGCCTGAGTGATTTGCAAATTTGAGGTATATAAGATAAAAACTATGCAGTTTTGTAGAAAGGGGCCAGGATCCATGAGGGATCCAGGATCCATGGGATCTAATAGTCCATCTATGAGTGGAGGCTTCTTTCTCATTTGACTTTGGCAATGCAAGGAGCAAGAGTCAATTTTCTTAATTTTTATATTATTTGCTTTCCCCACCCCGGCTCCAGATCAGCTTACTTAGAAATAAGTCCTGCATTCTTCCTTGGAGTTTGGTATTTTCATGTTTCTTTTGCTATAGTCTGGAATATTTCTCAGCATATATTTTTTTAAAAAAAGACATTCCAAGGACAGAGTCAAATAAATGGCATAGTGTTTCGTTTAAAATCGAAAAGAAAGTTTCTTTTGATTAAAATTAAGGCAGAATTGCAGCTTAAAAGGTTAAAGACCAGAGAAGGCATGCAAATCTCCCCTCTTACTGGAAGATCAAAATACACTGGTTGGAGATAAGATCGAAAGTTATGTGTGGCCCAAGGCAACAGTCTTCTTCCCTCCTTCCATCAAAACTCACAATGGCCTTTTAATGCAGTGCCAAAGGCAGAGTCCAACGGTTTTGGATCCAAGGGGCTTTGAAACAATAGATGCCTGGTGATAGGGCCTCCTTCAGCCTTGCTACATTTCTCCCGTGATTCTATTTTACCTTCATTCTTGCCAAGATGGAGGTGTTGTTTGCTGTTAGATGAAGGAGATTTTATTTATTTATTGGATTTGTCAAACACATTATAATAGAAATAAGAATAAACGTAAGTGTAAATACATGAAATAGGTACCAATAATTGGGGACAATAGGACAGGGATGGTAGGCACGATTGTGCGGTTGTGCCCCAGTGGTGGGATTCATTTTTTTTTACTACCGGTTCTGTGGGTGTGGCTTGGTGGGCGTGGCATGGGAAAATTACTGCAAGATCCCATTCCCTCCCCGCCCCACAGAACCTGCTTTCCAGCTCCGTTCTCCTGTGCAGGGCAACCCAAAAAGACCCAGCCAATCAGCTGGGACTCCGGAGGCAGAGAATAGATGGGGTTGGTGGAGCCAGTCAGAGGTGGGATTTGCCAGTTCTCCGAACCACTCAAAATTTCTGCTACTAGTTCTCCAGGACTGGTCAGAACCTCCCCTTATAGACCTCTTAGAAATGGGGTGAGGTCAATAGAGGTTAGTTTGAGGGTAAAGGAGTGGGGGGTTAGAGGATGTGACAACAGAGTCAGGTAGTGAGTTCCAGGCATTGACTACTCTATTGCTGAAATCGTACTTCCCGCAATCGAGTTGGAGTGGTTTACATTAAGTATATCTGTTGTGTGCTCTTGTGTCGTTGTGATCAAAGCTGAAATAGTCATTAAGTGGTAAGGCATTATAACAGATAATTTTATGTACTATGCCCAAGTCCAATCTTAGCCAGCGTAGTTCAAGGTCGTCTCAGCCTAGAATCTCACGTCTGGTGGTGTAGGGTATTCTGGACCTTCTAACTGACCCCTGCTTGCTTCTCTGCCAGGACATACCAGTGGGCTGTGAGAGGTATCTGAACTGGGCCCATGCCTTTCTAGTAGTCTACAGCATTGAAAACCGGAAGAGCTTTGAAGGATCACAGCAGTACCTGGACCTCATTGCTCTCCACTTGAAGAACACCTTCCATGAATCTCCCGTTCTCCTGATAGGGAACAAGCTGGATATGGAACAGTACAGGTAAGGAGGTTAAGAGCTCGACCCAAGGAAGGAAGAGAGAGAGACGGCTGTAATAAATGCAGCAACTTAGTCTTCATTGGACTAGGTTATATCTTGAGTCCAGACTTTACTCTGGTGTGTTAGATGTACTGAAAAATAAATAGGTAGAAATAGGGAATTCAACCCAGAATATTGCTACCAAGTAAATGTAATCTCTTTTGAGATCTTCTATAAAGGTTCATGCTATTGCAGCTCTCTTATTTTTATATCCTGTTTTATTATTTTAATCTTCTTACCACTAGATTGGAACATAAGCCTCTCAAAGTCCTACTGGGTTGGAGTGTCCTCTAAGCCTTGTATGATGACCTGGGGCGTGGCACAAAGGCCACACAGTCAGATAATCAGTAGGAGTCCCTGTATTCGCTCCAACTTTGCCCCCAATGTCCTGGTTACCTTCTGGCTGGAGAAAAACTCTCCCAGGAACAGCTTTTGACTGCAGAGAACCAAGTCCAAAACATGGTCAACAAAAACTGTAACTATAAATCCAATCAAGCCAAACTGAGGTAATTAGTTTGGCAGGGCAGGAGCAAAAATTCCAGACATGAAGACATGGCAAAACAGTTGGGAAGATGTCAGGAACACAGATAAGCAAAGACAATACAGGATAAAGTCATTTTTGCTCCCAGCAGCTGCCACATCCAGTTCTTTTAAACTTTCATTCCCAGCTGTGGCTAATAAAGGGGATCAGGGCCCTTTCCTCCCCCATAAGCCACATAACCCATGTCGCTCTCTTCTCCATTCCTCACTGCATGCCCTAGAATAAAGAGGGGGTGGGCTTGGGTCTTTCTCTGAACTCCCTCTCCCTTGTTCTACCTCTTCCCTGCTCTGCCCAGCCGGACTGTGCCCTTCCCCAGTTTCCTCCACAGCCAACAAAGCCACACTCTGATTCCCTGTCAGCTGTTCAGCTTCCTCCTCAGATTCAGACTCTGACAGGGGCATGACACCTCAGTAAATCGCCCATGCTCTCCCAAGGTCACTAAATGTTGCAAGATAGGGTGATTTCACGAGAGTTTTGTATTTTAATTCATTTAAATTTTAGTAGGGTTGGGCGCCATCTTGGGAAATGGATGGAAGGTTGGATGCCTTGGTGGGTACAGATGTTGCTTTGCCAACCCCTTGTGAAAAGGATTGGTCTTCGCAAGGATGCCTCCCCCCCCCCCAAAAAAAAACCCCTTCAAACTGTCTTGGTCACTTTCCCGCCAGGACTCCTTGAGTTCCAGAGGCACATAAATTATGTGCAGAACCAGCCCAGCCTGCAAGTTGAGGTTTCTGGATAAAAAGCCATTCTGAAGTGGAATCGCCCTCTTTCATTTCATGTCAGTCATAGAAGCACAGACAGACTCAAGGATTATGCATGGGTAGGTGAACCCCAAAACACAGACTTCCTATCGACTAAAGAAAGAATCAACTGGGCATTGCAATAGCGAAAGACCCATCAGCAAGAGCCACTTCTATCAGCAGAGGATAATTTCTAGGCAAATCCAATAAATTCTTCTGTTTGATTTTGATTAGATCCTCACTGCTTTGGGAAAATAAGATTTAATAGCAATAGCACTTAGACTTATATACTACTTCATGGGGCTTTCCATCCCTCTCTAAGCGGTTTACAGAGTCAGCGTATTGCCCTCAACTATTTGGGTCCTCCTTTGACCCACCTCGGAAGGATGGAAGGCTGAGTCAACCTTGAGCCTGGTGAGATTCGAACGGCCAAATTGCAGGCAGCCGGCAGTCAGCAGAAGTAGCTTGCAGTACTTCACTCTGACCACTGTGCCAGCGTGGCTCATGGTATAGTTTAATTTAAGCTAAACTATAGCTTAATTTTCTAGTGCTTTGGATGCGGCAATTAACAGACATGGGCAGTTCCTTGTGTTGCCTCTTTTCATGTGGGATGTTCTCTCCTGGTTTCTTCTCCCAGACAGGTCACCAAAGCTGAAGGAATATCTCTTGCCACCAAGTACGGCTCCTCCTTCCATGAAGTCTCGGCATGCCTGGATTTCGAATCCGTGCAGCACATTTTCCACGAGGCAGTACGGGAAGTGAGGCGAGAGACGGACAGTCCTCTGGCAGTCCGGCCCTTGTTTATCATTGAAGAGAAGCCCTCAGCTCACCTGGTCCCAACCGCCACCATTGCCTCCACCTACAACTCACTCTCCACTGTCAACTACAAAGAGGTCCCTTCCGTTGCCCAAGCGAAGCTGGTCACGGTCAAATCCTCAAGAGCTCAAAGCAAGAGGAAAGCTCCAGCCTTGACTTTGCTGAAGGGGTTTAAGATATTCTAAGCAGGGGTTCTGCGAGGCGGTTCCAAGGTAGAACGTGGAACAACCACCGTTGTTGGGATGGGTTCTTGAATCCCCAAGCAAAGATGAGACCATTTTGAATATTCCATCTCTTGGCCTTTTCCAGAGCCCAAGTGGCCTTCTCAGAATGCAACAAAGCATTTTGGGAAAAGGCTACGAATTGACAGTGGACAAACTATGGATGAAGCCACCAGGTGGGCAAGGTGGTTCTAAACTTTTTTGGAGGGGTCATAAACATGTGGAGAACTCTGCCACGTGAATCCCATGGAAAGGGTTTGGTCTTGAGGTCCTTTCATGGGACTGAATAGAGATTTGGGGAGCCGGGGAGGCTGCGACCAGCCAAAGAAATGATTCTACAAGGAGAAGACATAGAACATAGAATATCAGAATTGGAAGGGGCCTTGGAGGTCTTCTAGTCCAACCCCCTGCTCAAGCAGGAGACCCTGTACCATTCCAGACAGGTGGCTGTCCAGTCTCTTCTTAAAAGCCTCCAGTGATGGAGCAGCCACAACTTCTGGAGTCAAGTCGTTCCACTGGTTAATTGTTCTCACTGTCAGGAAAAATATCCTTAGTTCCAGGTTGGATCTCTCTTTGATCAGCTTCCATCTGTTGTTTCGGGTACTTTGGAATTCTGGACATTTGGAAATTCAGACATTCATACCCACCCCATGTTTTGCATGTCCCTAAGTGCTTAAGAAAAACCACACTCCACGTCACCATTTCACCAACATTCTTTTCTTAATGTCTACTTTAAGTTCTCTTCCATCAACAACAGAAGGAGGGTCGGAAAAACAAAACCACAGAATTGTTCAAACGGTGGAAGAAATAATATAAGAGCACTTTGTAGAAACAAAACAAAGGCAGGACAAAGGGGGAAAGCACAAAATGGACAAATGGACTCAGGAGCACAAGCAAAGTGCACCGACGTGCCAGGGAATATGATTGCGAGCACCAATAACGGGTTTTATGATGACCAAATGTAGATTACCTAGATGCACAGCGCCCTCTAGTGTTCCTGGACAGGCAATGAAACATTTTCAGTTCTTTGTCCTTTTTGCTAATTTTTCCTAATCAACTCGAACTGATTAGTCAGATAATTCTTACTTTTGTGGTAAATGTCATTCAGGCCCAAGCTAATCAGACAAAGCCTAGCTAAAACGACTGTTCATGGACAAATTCCACCAGGGTCAGAAAAGATAAAAGGAAGGGAAGCAAGAAAGGGAAGCACCAAATTGGGAGGGTCACAGGTGTGGCGTGGCAAAAAAACCCCACCACTGGGGGTGGGGGTGATTCATGGTAACATTGGCATGATCAGGGGGGCTGTGTGTGGCATCTTGCAGATTTTAATATACTGTAGCCCTAGCAATAGCCACAGCACTTAGACTTATATACCGCTTCACAGTGCTTTTACAGGCCTCTCTCAAGCGATTTACAGAGTCAGCCTGTTGCCCCCCCAAAATCTGAGTCCTCATTTTACCCACCTCAGAAGGATGGAAGGCTGAGTCTACCTTGAGCCGGTCAGGATCGAACTGCCAAACTGCAGGCAGCTGGCAGGCAGCAGAAGTAACCTGCAATACTGCACTCTAACCACTGTGCCCCCTCATTACTTATTTCCCAGTGAATGTATTTATTGCTGGGCACAGCAGAAAAGACGTAGGCATGGTTTTCATGGGAAAGAATGGCATTCTACCACATACAGGCAGATATAGAGATCTAGGAGCATTGAAAAAGCCTTTTAAAAGGGCTTTGGCTTGGACTAGTGGTAAAAATATTCCTCTAGTTTCTTTAGAAGTCACTGTGCTGCTAACATCACTGTTTGAGTGCTCCTTAGAGAAGAAAAACAACAACTAAAATGTGTTGTTTGATCTACTTCAGCCCTAAAATTAGGAGTAGGGGAGTGTCTATGGAGCGTCTCAGTCATCCAAGTCATGGTTGTCCCAACGGCGCTTTTTCAAGTGGCAACTGGACTTCCTTTGTTTTTCCTTGAAGACGTTTCGTGTCTCAGCCAAGAAGCTTCCTCAGCTCTTCAGCTTCTCTTGAAAAAGCACCTTTGGGAGTAGGGGAAGTTACAATCAACCAATATAAATTTAGTCCTCGGGCATATATGATCTCAGAAGACGTCGGATATCCCTCTTTTTTTGTCCTTCCCTTTTGTTTTTTACACATATAAAACAGCAGCCTACATCAGTTGGGATAATTGTTCCAAAAAGAATTTGGATGGTTGAAGGGGAGACATCTGGAGAACATCTGCATTCAGCTGGAATCCATCACAAAAAAAGACAAAAGAATCTCTCTGGTTTTCATTAGAAAGATTGGCATTATATTACGCGAAGATAGATCTAGAGATGTAGCAGCCTTTTAAAGCCTTTTAATGGACCTTGGCTTACTAGACTAATGGTGAAAATATTAACCTGGTTTCCTTGGAAGCTACAGGGCTGCTCGAGTATCATCCAAGGCCCTTATCATAGCCTAGTCTTTGCTCATCCCTTTTCCTTGTTTCCAATTTTGGAGGCTCCCAACCAGAGCTGGGATTCTACCGGTTCAGACCGGTTCTATAGAACCGGTTGTTATGATTCTGCGCAGTTTGGAGAACCCCTGGCTGGCCCCGCCCCTTTCCACCCGCCCCACCCCTCCCAGTCAGTCTTTATCACGCATGTGTGACATCACGCGCATGCCCAACATCGCTGACTGCATTCTCCCCCACCCAGTCACTCCTTAAGGTATTTCTCTTTTTTTCCCCTCCCGATGATCAGCTGTTCTGATGATCAGCTGTGCCGGGATCCCCCTCACTGTCTTACTGCTTCGCCCAGGAGGTTTCCCTGAAGCCCAGGAGGCAAAAAACCCAGGGGGTGTGTGTGGAGTTGTTGGGGAAAAAAGCCACTCCTACCTAGTCACATGGCCATACCCATCTATCCATGCCCACCTAGCCACACCCACAGAACCAGTTGTTAAAAAATGTGAATCCCACCTCTGCTCCCAACTGTCGCAAATTATTACCCTTCTATAAGGCAGCTAATATTGGCATAACAGAACCACCACAGCAAAGATCCAGAAAGATCCAGATGATCAAATTCCACCTTTTTTTTAAATATGCAATCACAAATGGTCAGTGATAAAATCAACATCAGGAGACCTCGAACATCTTTCCAGATAATCTGACAAATTTATTTTTGTGTGTGTAGGTTGGCGCAAAATAGCAAAGCAACAACCTTCACACAATATCCTGAATTGGTTCTTGAATTGGCCCTTTTTCTGGGTTCACCCACTACTCAACCCATTGAGGTAGGTTGACATCAGAGGTCTCCTCACAGATGGTCGAGTCAAGATGGTAACCCAACTGTGCAGTTGAAGTTCTGGCTGCTTTGAGGGGGCCTGCCACAGCTTTGTTTGACCCCGTGAATGCTCTGGTGACACTACATTAGGGCACAAAATAAAATTGGCTAACACTAACAGGAACCACCTGAACCAACTGACCAGGCTTAACCTGTTGTGTGAAGGAAGCCACTAGGCCAACCTAGTCCAAGGTATCATGTAAAGATAGCTGGTAGATGAATTGTTTGGTGGATTATTGATTTTGTAAAACTCAAAAGCAGTCATTATGTGTTTCCTTCTGGCTGGCTTTTTGATTCCGCTCAATGAATTTGGCTTTGAAACCCGCGTTCCAAAAATGTCAATAGTCCAGAAATCCCCCCAGGTTTCCCAAAGAGCCCAAATATAGACATTAGATACTATGCTTCTGCTTCGCTGGCATCAGTATACAGGGGTGAGGTTTTCCCATCCTTCCAGCGTACCATCACGTCTCCCGTGGTCAGTGTTTTGGAAAGCACATTGTCTCCAACTTGATCCGGATTCTCTTTGTTCAGCAACACAAACGCTTGCTTCGCTTCTGCCTCATCCAGCGGGGTGACTTCATAGCCTTCTTTGCGTAAGAGAAAGGCCTTCTGGTTTCTGTGGAGTGGAGAGAAAAAAAACAATGTCTTCTCAACCATCTATTTCCAGACAGGGGTGAGATTCAAAAATCCCAACAACTGGTTCACTGCCCAATGGGAGCTTCCTGGAGGGCCGTTGTTTGGGCTTCCCAAGGGTCCAGAGGCTTCCCTTGGGCCTCTGGGAGGGCGAAAATGGCCACCCCGGGCTCTGGAGGCCCCCTGGAAGCCAGAAACAGGCCCATTTCCAGATTTCTAGAAGGGCTGTTTTTCCCGCTCCCAGAGCCTCTGTGGACTCTGCACTTACCTGCATAGAAAATGGGCCACATAGAGACTCCTGGGAGGGGAGGGGCAGGGTGGGTGGGGCCAGCTGGTTGGTTCAAATACTGGTTCAGTGAACCAGGTGCAAATTTAACATCTGGTTCACCCAAACCGGTCCAAACCGGTAAAATCCCATCCCTGTCCACCAGATATGATAGTAGGGCAGTTAGGAGGACCTAATAGTCACTCAGAATAAGCATGCAAAGACATGAATCCTGCTTGGAGAAACGTTTAGAAACCCAGGTGGAATTAACCAGGGCTCACCTAAGCCTGATCACATGACCAATATAATATTGGCTCGTTCTTTGTGTCTATGGAGATTCTCAATCATCCAGGCCATGGCTGTCCCAAAAGTGCTTTTTTTCGAAAAGCTACTGGACTTTGGTTTTGTTTTGTTTTTTTTTCATTGAGGATGTTTTACTTCTCATCCAAGGAGCTTAAGAACTGAAGTAGCTTCTTGGATGAGAAGCTAAGTGTCTTCAAGGAAAAAAGTATAAAAACGAAGTCCAGTTGCCTTTTTGGAAAAAAAAAAAACTATTTCTGGGCTAATCCCTGCAATATTTCAGGAGCAGCTTGCCATTGTTTGCTTCCTAGGGCCGAGAGAAAGGGACTGGCCCAAGGTCACCCAGCTGGCTTCGTGTCCAAGGCAGGACTAGAACTCACAGTCTCCCAGTTGGTAGCCTGGTAGTTTAACCACTACACTAAACCAGTTCAGAAGAAGTTGAACATGACGACTTTTCTCATCTTCATCAACTTTGACTGAATTGCTCTCGAACTATAATTTTTCACACTTTCTGGGGAAATAAGTGGTTTGAAGAACAGGTCTATAGTGAACCCTCAAAGGTGTTTTTTTTTTCCAAAAGGAAACTGGATTGTGGCGGAAGCCCATCCCCCCCCTGCCCCCGAGAATCAAATATTTTGGGGAATATTAAAAGAGGCAGAATATTATATTTCCCCAAAGGAGAAATGGAGAAACATTCTGCCTAACACA